ACCCGGCTCTACTGACCGCCGACGGCACGAGAGCGCGCTCTTGCTCACCCGCCCTACTCATTCCAGCTCCTACATCTTGGAGCTCCCCCACCACCACCGGCTTCGATGGAAGACGCACCAACAACAAGCAGAGCTGCAATTTCTGCAAACGTAGCAAAAGCGACAGCAACAACTAAACCAACGACCAATATTGCGAAATCGGTGCCAACGGCCGCATCGCCAAACAAGCGGTTCCGGCATACAGACTGGCATGGATCGCTACATCCAAATTAAGCGTAAGCTTAGCCCACATAACACGGTTGGTAGCAAGCCTAAGATCAACCGTGTCACCAAAAGCTACGACCCAAACAACTCCAACAAATTTTCTCCGCTAGCAGCTGATGAGAATAACCAAGCAGAGCAGGAGCAGGAGACTCAAAAACAGCCAAAGCCCCCACCCATTTATATTAGGGAGAAAAGCTCAAACGCCCTGGTCAACAAAATTGTTGCGCTGGTCGGGGACGGAAACTTTTATGTTGTTCCGCTTATTAAAGGGAACATTTGCGAAACAAAAATTCAAACCAAATACCTGGAAGAATCCAAAAAGAATTTTTACACCTACCAACTAAAAAGCAGCAAGGGACTGCAAGTCGTGTTAAAAGGAATTGAACCAGACGTCGCCCCCTCTGAGATAGTGGAAGCCCTGAAAGGCAAGGGTTTCCTTGCCAAGAATGTCAGCAACATTATAAATAAAAACAAAAAGCCGCAACCACTTTTCAAAGTCGAACTGGAGCCAGAAAGTAAAACCATGAAGAAGAATGAAGTTCACCCGATCTACAAGTTGCAGTTCCTATTGCATCGAAAAATCTCCGTGGAAGAACCGCACAAACGCAACGGTCCTGTGCAATGCACTAATTGCCAGGAATATGGACATACAAGGACATACTGCACCCTTCGGTCAGTCTGCGTAGTCTGTGGAGACTTCCACAATTCCGCACACTGCCCTGCGAACAAAGAAGACCCAAACAAGAAAAAATGCGGAAACTGTGGAGGAAATCACACAGCTAACTACAGAGGCTGCGTGGTCTACAAGGAGCTGAAGAGTCGCATGCGACGAGCAACAGCTACACGCCAACAAAATACACAAAATGTGTATTATAATTCAAAAACTACTCCAGAAGTATTTTTTGCCAAAGCAGCCAGATCCTCTTTTGGTCAGCTAAGTGCCCCCACGGGCATCTCCTACGCTGAAGCTCTTCGAACAGGTATGCAAAATCCTCCCCCCTCAAACTCGGTAAACGCTCAGCAGGCCCCAGGGCAGTCACAAAACAACCTGGAATCCATGATGGTGACCATGCAACAAAGTATGATGGAACTCATGTCATTTATGAAAACGACCATGCAAACGCTTGTCCAGAATCAGAATATGGTGATACAGTTGCTTGTAGCACAACAGTCGAAATAATCAATGGAATGCCAACGGCATAAACTTGAACTAACACAATTCCTAAATGATAATCACATCGACGCCATGCTACTGGTTGAAACGCACCTCACAAGCAGATACAACTTTCATATAAGAGGTTATACCTTCCACCGCACAGATCATCCAGATGGTAAAGCCCACGGCGGGACCGGCATCCTCATCAGAGAACGCATCAAACACCATTTTCACCAAAGGTTTGCAACAAATTTCTTGCCAGCTACGTCCATAAAAGTGCAGTCAGGTAACGGCAACCTTTGCATTGCTGCTGTCTACTGCCCACCTCGCTTTACAATCTCTGAAGGTCAATTCGTGGATTTTTACAACTCTCTTGGAGATCGATTAATAGCTGCAGGAGATTACAACGCCAAGCATACGCATTGGGGATCCCGCCTCGTAACCCCCAAGGGAAGACAACTGTATAACGCTCTCATCAATGTGAGAAATAAGCTGGACTACGTTTCCCCTGGTAGCCCCACATATTGGCCAGCAGACCCCAGAAAGATACCCGATCTAATTGACTTCGCGGTGACAAAAAACATCCCACGCAATTTAATAAACGCCAAGGCCCTTCCAGACCTTTCTTCAGATCACTCGCCGCTGTATATAACCCTCCTTCAAAGCCCAGAAACTACGGATCGCCCCGATAGGCTGACGTCGCACAGAACCAATTGAATGAAGTATGTGAGTTCCCACATTGAGCTAGCCCCCCAGCTCAATGAAACCGACATCGACTCCTCCACCTCCGCACTGGAAAAGGTACTTGTGACTGCAGCCAGAATCTCAACACCACAACAGACGGATGTGCAAAAAATCAAATTCAAAACGAACCAGCAAATTGAACAGCTCATGTACAAAATAAAAACACTTTTGCCGGTATACACACACAAATTACTTGAGTCGTATCTCTACAACAGAGTCTTCGCAGTGAGGTGCAACGCAACAACATCCGGCACCTATTCAATCGAAGCTGGAGTCCCACAAGGAAGCGCACTCGGGCCTACCCTATTTGTTCTATACACAGCGGATATCCCCACACGCGACCAGCTAACATTATCCACTTTCGCTGATGACACTGCGATCCTCAGCCTTTCCAGATGCCCAGTCCGTGCAACAGCCCAGCACGCCAACCACCTCAAGGTAATCGAGAAGTGGCTATCTGACTGGCGTATCAAAATAAATGAACAAAAGTGTAAGCACATAACGTTCACTCTCAACAGACAAACATGCCCCCCGCTCTACCTGAACAGCACACTGATCCCCGAAGTCAACGTGGTAACGTACCTGGGCGTCCACCTGGACAGACGCCTAACATGGCGAAGACATATTGAATGCAAGAAACTTCATCTAAAACTAAAAGCCAGCAGCCTCCACTGGCTCATAAACTCCCGATCGCCCCTGTGTCTGGACTACAAGGTCCTGCTCTACAACTCCACACTAAAGCCAATATGGACGTATGGGGCACCATGGTATATTCGCAACGAACACATCCACAGGGATCTCGGCATTCCTGCAGTTAAGAACGAAATAGAAAAACAAAAAGCGTCCTACAAGGAAAAACTCTCCACCCATCCAAATCCTTTAGCAAGGGACTTGATACAAGTTTCCAGAAGAAGCCGCCTACTACGTAACGACCATCCAACCCAGCCATAATTAGTCAGGGCCATTTTCTCTGTACCAGTCTCATGACTGCTAGTTAGGTAGTATTGTAAGATTTGATACACTTATTGTTAGTCTCAAAAATGAGAAGATTCAATAAATAAAAGCCAAGCCTAAAAAAAAAAAAAAAAAAAAAAAAAAAAAAAAAAAAAAACGGACTTGCCCTGGCCATTGCCCAGCCGGCGCCCTCGGGGAGGGTTGGAGGGTTCAGATGGTTTAACTTTCTCAGAATTCTTGTTATGTGCTTGAGCTTGTTTAACTTAAGTAAAAGAACTTTTTTCAATTATATTTAAGACGCACGCTGGACGCACCTGCAATTTCTTCTTTTTCAATATTTTTATATAAATATTATAAATATCCTCATCATCATCAGAATCGCACGGCAGATCGTTTTCATTTTGAGCTGTAGACGGAAGGTCCAAGACCTAATACCTCTTTTGAGAAAGGTTTTTTATTTATTCTTGCAGGGTATAATAATTTCAGTCAGAAGTTTGCAACGCTGTGAAGGAGACCTTTCCGACCATATAAAATATATATTTAATCTTGATCAGCATCAACAGCCGAGTCGATCTAGCCATGTCTGTCCGTCCGTCCGTCCGTCTGACCGTCCGTCTGTCCGTCTGTCCGTCCGTCCGTCCGTCCGTCCGTCCGTCCGTCCGTCCGTCCGTCCGTCCGTCCGTCCGTCTGTCAAGAACAGAGTACATTGTCTTAGAAACGCTTAACGATGTATGTTGGACGATATGTTGATGACATTTTTTATTGGTCAATAATTTTTACATTTTCTCATTTTTGAGAGAAACAAAGAGAGAGTTTGAGGTTTTATTTGGGTGTCTAACTCGTTAACAAAATGTTGTGTGTTTTTATACCCATGCAGGGTATTATAATTTCAGTCAGAAGTTTGCAACGTAGTGAAGGAGACCTTTCCGACCCTATGAAGTATATATATTCTTGATCAGCATCAACAGCCGAGTCGATCTAGCCGTGTCCGTCCGTCCGTCCGTCCGTCTGACCGTCCGTCTGTCCGTCCGTCCGTCCGTCTGTCTGTTTCTACGCAAACTAGTCCCTCAGTTTTAAAGCTATCTGAATGAAATTTTGCATATAGTCTTCTATATACTCTCACTGCTATATATGTCGGAACGGGACGGATCGGACATACAAATGTTCAATACATTTTTAGAAAAAAATTATAACTTGGCTGTTTTTCAACATTTTTGCACAATTTTTTAGATATGGCCATTTTATATTATTTCAGAATTTCGATAAAAATTTTATGAAAATCGGATGACTATACCATATACATAGCTGCCATAGGAACGATCGGGAAATTAATAGGAAAAAAACTATAACTTTGTTGTTTTTCAACGTTTTTTCATCTAGTCCAGGATATAAGCTTATTTTATTATTATAGAATTTTGGTATAGATTTCATAAAAATTGGACAACTATATCATATAGCTGCCACAGAAACGATCGGTAGATGTAGAGAAAATGTAAAGCTGGGAATGCAAATCTGTCTCTTTCAAACTGTAAGCATAATAATTATAGGTAAAATGTAATGAAATAATATCTGCAAGAGTATACAAACTTCGGCGTTCCGAAGTTAGCTTCCTTTCTTGTTTTTTCACGTTGTCTTCCCAACGCTATAAGTTTGACTGAGAAATATAAAAGACTCTAGAAAGTACAATGGTAAAACTGGAATATTTCAACTCTTTGTTTAACATTGAATCGGTACCAGTATAATACAAATTATAGTTCAAGTGGGTCCTCACGTCTTTCTCAAAAGGACTAGAACTAAAAATGACACGGATATAAAAACCTTAAGAAGAACATCAAATAAAGGCATCGGTCTCCTTACCTTTTTTAAAATAACACTTTTTTAGTTCATTGATTTTGATTTATTTTAAATAGCTTACAACTATATCAAACAAGTTTATGTATGGCCAGAGCCATAAAAACGTGATGATCATCACATTAATGTCAAGAGTAACATAACTTGATGGGTTGCACAGATTTCCTCGACAATAACAATTTTTTTTTTCTGTTGATCCCGCTAACCGGTCGGTGTTTATGTCTTTACAGCCCTCATCATACACTTCCTGAACTAAATGCTCTTGTTCCCACTGCTTATTACGAAAAATCTGAAAATAATGTATAGTTCAATATTATTCGTTTTTGAGTCAAAATCATATTATACCTGAGTGGTGTTTTTTTGTTGGGCGCATCCTCTGGTTATAGTTTCTTGTCTCTGACCATTTTGTAGGTGAAGAATAGAAATGGTTTTTAAGCACATTGTTGAATATGGACACTCTACAGCATAATTATTAGATTCTTGAAATTTGAAGCAAAGTGGCGTCGAAATGGTTTTATTATTCAAAACATATTTTTCAATGGATACTGAGCACTTATAACATTGTAAAACATTAGCAATGGTGTTTTTGGCTGAAATAAAGAGGATTATCATTATTATTTATTTATATATGGATTGTTATTTATTCCATTAATATCCTTAATTTAACGTCATTTCAGAAGAATGCAAAACGGTAGATCTAGCACAAGCACAACTAATGCCATGACATAAATATTGTAAGTTAAAAAAAAAATCCACTCACTTATTAAGTGTTTTTTTTTTGTTCTTACTAGTCGCCTCTTCTTGTATGCGTTCTGATACACGTAAAAAAATTGGGGTTGATGAAAAGTCTGTTAAAATTTGATGATCAATATGGTACTCGCACTCAGAACGGATACAAGAATAGGCGACTAGTAAGAACAAAAAAAAACACTTAATAAGTGAGTGGATTTTTTTTTAACTTGCAATACTTATGTATTGTACCTCAACCTAAAACCGGAAGTGGACAACAGCAGGTATCTCAAGATCCAGTAAACGCAGAAGTCAAAGAGATGGATTTGAATACAACTTTTTTCTTGCCGCCGAACGAAGTAGAAAACCAATGCGAAAACGAAGACATAGGCAGGAATGAGATCGAAAACTCTGCAAGTGGCGGAGCAGCAAATGCTGAATTACATCACACGATGAAATTTACAACAGGCCATGAAGAAGTACCCAGTCGGACTTTTCCCTATGAAAGGAGTACTATCTTCTCATAGAAACGGGCGGAGGGATTCAGTGCCCGTTTGTGTATTTTATTATTTTATATATTTTTATACTCCTCCCCAGAGAGATCGTTTCCGGAATTTCCCCTCCCAAGAGAGTATAAAAAATTGGATGTACGAAGAATCCGTCGCTGCTCGGGTGAGGAAGAAATTCTTCAAAAGGCAAGATTTATACATTAATATAAGTAATTTAATAACAATTTAAACAAATTATAATTAATAATTAACAAATAAAAAAATAAAAAAGTTTTTTATTTTATAAATTTTTATACTCCTCCCCAGAGAGTATAATTATTAATTACAAATACAAAAATAAAAAAGTTTTTTATTTTATAAAATTTTATACTCTCTTTTTTATTTTTTTATTTGTTAATTATTAATTATAATTTGTTTAAATGGTTATTAAATTACTTATATCAATGTATAAATCTTATAAAAAGCCACTTAAACTTACTTTTTTTGTTCCTGGTCGGGATTTGAACCCATGTCTCAGAAATCACAGACCGTCCGCTTACCAACTGAGCCACTGAGTCAAATCAAAAGCTTATGTCGGGAACGCGAATTCATACAGTTTCAAGGAAAGAGCAAAAATATATGTATCCCTTTATCTCTCTCTCTCTCTCTCTCTCGCATTAAAAATAAAAATCCCCAAAGGGAATCAAAAAAAGCCCTCCCATTTCCACAAGAATTTCATCCTCCCCTGTTCGCGTCCTCCCGAAAAGTCCGACTGGATACCCAACATGCCAGATTTTGATGGAGTTTCAATCCCAATTAAGCAATGGCTAAAATGTTTTGACGGGAACGCAGATGCCTATGAGCTGGCCACCAAGCAGAAATATGTGAACGCTCGTATGAAAATGAAGGGCACAGCTAAGTTATTTAAGTTAACTGCCGTATTGTTGGATGAATTTGATAAATCGCTAAGCAGTGCTGAAGTGCACAAGCAGTTGGGAGAACGAAAGAAAAATGAGAACGAGAACTTTCATGATCCAATCCAATCGGTTGAAGATTAATCGGTGATTCGTTATATAGCAGATGGTCTAAAGCTTAGTAACGATCTTAAATATCCTCTTTACAGTGCGCCAAGTTTTAAGGGGGTCTTCTCATTGGGCAACTTTTTTTTTTCGATTTTTTTTTTTTGCACTTATTTATAGCTTGGGATGGTGTGTATATGTCCCCAAAAGGATTTTTAGAAATTCGAAATACTTTAGAAGATACAGCCTTTTTTGTGAAGCAAGTTCTTCGCAAAATGAGCTTTTTTCAAACTTCAAACGCGTTTATCTCGAAACCACGTTTTTCGAACTGGCGGCCATGATATCTCCAGTTCAACTGAACCGATTTTCATGAAACAAAGTGGAATCGACGCAGAATTGTCACCATTTTCGGCTGACGGAACAGATTTTTTTTTTTAATTTTTTTTTCTATTTTTTTTTACACTAAACTACAAAAAAAACGCCCGAAATCGAATATTTTTTTTTTGAATGGCCGCCATTTTGTTTTAAAAATTTTTTAAAAAAATCTGTTCCGTCAGCCGAAAATGACATCTATTCTGATTATAACCCCGTTTTTATTTTTCATTTCGGACGCTCTGGAGACCCTGAATCGTGGCCGCCAGGACGACACCTTTTTTTTTCGACCACCAAGTTTGAAGTCTCATTACTCTTTGAACAACCCTCGTATCGAGGCAAGAACAACTTTTTTAGTTACTTTGAACATTTTTGAATACAATAAATAAAAAAAAGTTTTCAATTATTCTTTGCGTTTTCAAATAAGAATTTTTTTAAAAAGGGTCCAAAAAACGGCTTTTGAATGAGAAGACCCCCTTAAGGAGTTGCGAAGCCGATTTGAAACGATCGAAATGATGACAAAACCAACAGCCGGACGAAAGCAATCAGTGCAGCAGAGTGATTTCGGCAAAGCAGTAAAACCAGGGAGGCGATTCGAACAGCAACAAAACCAAAACAAAAGCTATTGTTTTAACTGCGGCTCACCCGAGCATATGAGAGCTGAATGGAAAGAGGAGACAAAATGTTTTAAGTGCAGCGACAGTGGGCACACATCACGTAATTGTAGAGGGGAAAATCCAAATATCGGTGTGATCAGCGAGTCAAGGGAGAAGACCCTTACCATCAACAACAAAAGCGTTTCCTGTCTAGTAGACAGTGGTGCTGACGTGTCCCTTATGCGATTCAGGACATATGGTATAAGGAGAAGTTTGCTGAAAATCCACTGCAGAAAAGTTTTGCTAAACTGTACAGTCTTGGAAATATTGCGACAACTGTACTAGGTGCGTTGAATGCGCAAGTCGAAGAGGATGGAATGGCTACTCATCATAAGTTTCTCATCGTCCCTGATTTCAAAGTCAATGTCAATGTAATCATAGGCTTTGATTTCCTGAAGAAGTTCACAGTTGTGCTGGAGAAAGGCAAATGTGCTTTCACTGGAGGAGATGACGCCGAAGAAGCTCCTGTACAACATAATGTCTACAACGTCAGGATACAGACACAAATACAAAGCAGCCGTCGAGCAGCTAGTTGATAATTACAAACCGTCGAGGGAGCTAACCTGTCCAGTAAAGATGACAATAATTCCGAATTGCAACAAAATGGCATTTAGGGAGCAACCTAGAAGAAGGATAACACGTACAGGCTTTGCATTTTGTGGCCAAAACTCATTTTTTCGCGAGTTCGCAAATTTCAGTTTTTTCAACGCTACCATGTTAAGAAATGATCAAAATGCTTTTACATACCTAAAATTTTAACTTAACAGTTTAGTGTTAAGATAACAGCTGTTAAAGTCAGCTATTTCAAGCGAACAACACATTTATTCTTCAGGTTAGTACTATGTGTTGATACTAATATGTTGTGTATTTAGCAAGTGAAGTTCCCCTTGTTATTTTTAGAAAGAAATGTGAACTTTCCAAAGAGTTTAAAAACAAATTTCAAGTTGTTTCAGTGAGTGTCCATATACATGTTGTAGAGTACTCAATTCTGAACTCAGAACTATTAAGCTCATTGTGCGCTTTTTGCGGTTTTATGCGTTATTTGAATAGAACAAAAATACTAAAAAAATTTGTTTTATTGAATAACTTCTAATTTGCAGGACACATTTATAATGGGACATTTATCATATGTTCCATAATTGACGTCTAATCTAATTTATAATTGCTTTAAATTTTCGCTTTTTTTCCGATTTCTGTGGGCGCAGGGGGGCGTTGACACGCCCACTTTTCCAAAATACCTTCCTATAGTCATAATTATCATTATACAAGAAACCTGAAGTGAAAAATCTTGTTAATTTTAAAAATTTTAATTTTGGCCACAAAAACGGGGCAAATTCCATATAGTGCAATGGTTCTAAAATATCGATTCCCAGTTCCACTCATAAAGGAAGTGCTTGATAAGATGCAAGGTGCGAAGTATTTTTCAGTCTTTGACCACAAAAATGGGTGTTAACCCTCTTATGTTACGTTTTATTATAATAGTTTTCAGATTTCATATTTGTTTCTAAAATTTGCAAGTTTTTTTTTATTATCTGCTTTTTCCGCTTTTTTCAACTTTCGTTACTTTCTCCGCTTTTGTATCTCACTGCTGAATTCCAACTGAAACTGCTGAACTCCAAAAACTGAATGAATCTTTTTCTCCCTGTTCCTACTTTGCTGTTGTCACTTCAAAGCTCTCTGCCTGCTTCGATCAATCCCCTTTTAATATATAATATTATTATATATATATTATATACATATATATATATATTATTACCCCTGCAGGGTATTATAATTTTAGTCAGAAGTTTGAAAAAGGATCCTAGGTCCAATTGGTGGATACCAAGGATGACAACCTCACCACTACAAACTACCTTGAAAATCGGACGACTATGGCATATAGCTGCCATTGAACGAATCATGGCCGTCCTTTGGCCCTTTCACTTTTTCTCACTTTTCACTCAGACGACAATCCTAGACAATATATAGCTGTCTCTCTCTCTTTCCTATTGTTGCGACAGATGAACAGACCTCCCTCAGTAACAGACAGTCTTCTGTCCTTGTCATGTTACCGGCTAAACTGTCATTGCGCCTGCGCGCCAGCGACACCTACAGGGCTACCAATACCTAAGCATGCCGGATAATTATATTGCCCAAATTTGCACTTAGCAACCAACCCGCCGACACGGCCTTCCTGACATTTCACGCGTCCTCGCGTGTCCTGTCTTCTAATAGCTCTGAACATAACAGTAATTTTCATTTATTATTCTCATTTGTTTCTCTCTTTGGTTTTAACTTATCGTTTCATTTTATCTGTTTCATTCATGTCAAATAAACTTAAGTTTTT